ATACCTGCGTGATCGGTTAACGCTCTATATGCAGGGTTTTTTTTTTTTTTGTACGGCCGATATCCGAGTGAGCCAATGGAGTTCCAGAAGTGGGAGGGTCTCATCGCCATCTTAGTGATTTGGACTGAAGCTTGGGACATCACGAAGGGACTGGTGCTACTGGAGCTGGAGCTGGATGCTTTGCTGGACAACAGATAAGCTTATTGAAAAAAAAGGGGGCCCCAATCCTTTAAGTTCTTCTTTCTACAAACTATTCCTTCATGAACAATTTCCAACTGACTAATTACGTGCACATTGACTGAGCTGACTGACTGAACTATTTTGAAGGACTAACTGAAATCTGTAATCTTTTCTTGGGAAAAGAAACAATTGTTTAAGTGAGCTTTGAAGAGAAAACTACCCTGATTTTGAACTTCAGTTTTTTTTATAAGGGTGGACAATTTAAGTTTCTGTTACACTGAGTGATAACTATTGTTACTTGGGTTTATTTTATTTTTTTATTTCAGAGAAAATTAAACCTGAGTTGTTAAAACTTGCTTGCTTATCATCCTCCTGTGTGACCCTAGAGCATAAGTAACTTTACTTCTGAGCTTATTGCTTATTCAGTTAAGTAGTGGTCACAGATAGAAATAATTACAACAAACATGCAGAGAAGAGAGATTAAAGCCAGCAGCAGAGTGAAGAAATGTGCTCAGTTTGTGCTCCAGCAGTCTGTCTATAGCAGCAGAAATGAGAAAAGAACTTACCGTAAGTTGGTTTAAAGTTTTGTAAAACTACATAATTCTCATAATATTAGCACATTTAAGGAATGAAGGTCCAGAAAGCAGAATCACTGAAAACACTGAGTTTTTAAACTTTAAATGAAGATATTTGCATTTCCCTTTTTAAAATAAAAGGGTGTCCTGTGACTTTTGACTCATCTTGTACAGTCACTTTAAAGATGCTGGTGGGTCAGAGTGGACKGCCGGCTGCAGAGAGGTGGAGATAACAGAGTCAACAGATGCAGAGAAACAGKGAGGATGAGGAGGTGACAAACATTTCCTTACAGCCTGCTGGCTCTGAGGCTCTGCTCCTTGGATCCTCCTCACAACGACTCCATGTCTGATTCCTCACATCCCTGGGTCCACCGTCTGAACTGCTACTGCTAAACATCTTGCCATGAAGCCTTGAGGATTGTCCTGCCACTCTCTCCTTCATTCATCACCTGGTCACCTCRGTCAGCTCAGCTGTTCTTGAGTTAYTTGGTCCTCCTCCAACCTGCAAAACAACTCTAGTGATGACACTCCAGGACTAGGGTCTCCTCTCTCTTCTGCAGATCCCTCCTGTGCTCCTGCTGCTTCACTTCATAAATAAGCACCTTTTCTAAACTCTCTGGGTATCTGATTCACACCAAACTCTGATACAAGCATGAAATACAAGACAGATGTCATAAAACAGTATTTCTAACTGTTTTGTGATTTGTTATTACACATAGTGTGCCATTTCTGTTATTTAGTTGTATTATTATTTGTTACTTTTTGCATTTGTCTTTTTGTTCTCATTATGTCTGAAACAACAACACTGCAAAAACTGTCCATGTATCCAAGTTTTAAAATCTTATATCCAGCCAAAACGTCTTTTTGATCTTGTTTTCAGACTGATTTACTAAACAAGAACTGATTGTGTAAGAATAATAATCTTGTTTTCAGAATGTGTAAGATTATTTGTCTTGTTAGCCTGAAAATTTGACTCAAATTAAGTGAAAATTTTCTGCAAATGGAGTAAGAAAATTTTACTTGGTAAGATTCTTATAATACCTGATTTGATTCAAAATTTTCAAGAATCTTACCAAGTAAAATTTTCTTACTCCATTGGCAGAAAATTTTCACTTAATTTGAGTCAAATTTCCAAGCTAACACAAGATAAATGTTGTTACACATTCTGAAAACAAGATTATTATTCTT